CATTTGGAAATGTGCAATGCGCCCATCCACCTCCCGCATCTATGGGGAAAAGCCCCATAGTCTCCGTCTTTCTAAAAGGCTGCACGCTTCAATACGAAGCAGGGATCCCTTACTGGGGTTTGGCATCTCTCAGCTCACTGCCCCTGCCCAAATCCAGGGCAGACACCAGGAAGTTTGATGCTCGTGAAGTGCAGCCTTTGGAGTTGGTGCAAGTGCCATAGAGACAGCCCCCAGTCCAGGGGTAAGGACAACTTTAAAAGGGAAGGGGGATAAATCGAGCCTGGGAGGATTGCTATGGCACAGCCAGCCTTAAGTTTTATAATGTGGCAAATGACTTTTTCTTTTTTTAAAGAGGATAAAGCTAGCTATATTTTTTGCTTAGTCCAATGTTGGACTTGACTAACAAATGCTCTATATATCCCCCCTTCTCTCGGGTACCAGGCAGGCCCAGGATACCCGACTTACCTGCAGGTATTTTAACTGTCCAGACTGCACATAACAGGCAGCCACGTTGTTCCAGCCCAGCCGGCTGCTAACACCTGCTGTCAGGCTTTTTTGCTTGCGTGACTCTGCTGCAAACGTTGCTCTTCATAGAGTGAGGACATTTATAACGTGTATCCTATTTTTGTAAGGAAGCAAAAAGGACTGTGGTGTTAATGTGCAGAGGTGGGGGAGTGGGGAGGTTTCTTCCCCCTTTTTTTTAAAGATGTGCTCGCAGCCCGGTTGCTGACAGAGGAATGGCCTGATGGAAAACAGTTCAGAGGTGCACGTGAAACTTCGCTAGAGCCTGCTGTGTTTGAGAGAGCAGCAAAGAGCTCCCACCATCATTTTTGCTGACAACCAGGCTACCAGCAGGGATAGAAAATGGACGTGTGCCCCAAAGTGCTGTGCCAGTCATCAGGCCTTTCCTATAGTTTGCAAAGAAAGGTTCTCATACACAGTAAAATGAAGCTAATATACCAGGAATGTCTCAGGAATGAGTTAGGGACTATCACACTTGTATCGAAGATGCCTGTTCCCTTATCCCAGATAGTTCAAAAGAGCCTGACCCTCAAGAGACCCTAAACGAAGTGGATCGGTGGATGGATGCTGAGTATTTCTGGAGCTGGAGCCTTAAAAATGACCTTGTGGATTCCTTTGAATAGAAAGGCACTCTTTTTGAATAGAAAGCCACTCTTTTTAAAATGAGATATTTCTTCTAAAGACAACCTGTGTCTTAAATTGAGTTAAAAAAAAAAAAAAGAAGGAAAAAGCTGTCCTCTGCACCATGTAGAGGCTGTATCTAGGAAACAGCCTCTTTCTTTATTGCTTTCTTTTCTTAAGCTGAGGGTCAGCAGATCGTGGTGCATCTTAAATTCAAGGGGAGGTCTGATAGTCGAAGGAACATGGTCCCGTCTAAACCACTCAGTTTTGCAACACCTCCCGTTTACCCCCTAGTGAAACTCAGAGCCCCGCAGCCCGTCGTCTTGGTGTCCTGCGCGCCGGCCGGGCCCACCGGGACGGAGGGCCGGGAGCTGCCCAAGCTGGCCACAGAAGAGAGGAGATTGGCTTCGGCCACGTGCTCCGTGCATCTGTCTCGGATCCAGACGTGGAAGGAGCACAGAGCAAGGCCTCCGCTAGCAATTTATTGCAGAAAAATTCAAACATTGCCTGCGTCCGTCCGTGTCCGCGACGGTCCATTTCAGACTCTGCGAATATGCTGAAGCTACACCTCAAAGGTACCCCTCAGTCCATCTGATCAACCTAGGCTTGTTGAGCGGTTTATTCCCATTCATCTTGGGAGTCGTCGAGAAGAAAGAGGCTTGGCCGCAGAGTCCTGGCTCGGCTGAAGCTCCGAGATCCTGGTCACAAGTTTTAGGGTCTCCATAAAGAGCTACCACTGGAGGTAAAATCTCTCTTCCCTTCCCTCTTCGTTGGCTACAGCCTTGCATCATGACTCCCCGGGCACTCGCCGCTGTAGATGCATGCCGCGTTTGCAGAGGGCCTGGGACGCGTCGGTAGGAACGCGACTCCTTTTACCAGGTGTGACTGCGACTGAAACAACAACGTGACGGTTGTCACCAGCGCAGAAAAGCTGGAGGACAGGAGGAAGCGGCAGGGTGAAGAGGGAAACGTTGAAGGCTGTATCTCAATGTGATCCTCCGCGCTTCGGCTCTGTGCATTTCTCGTCTGTGGATGTTTCGGGGTTGGGGAGCACTTCCCGTTCCTTCTGGACAGATGGAAAGTGCCACCGGGTCAATAGAAAGGTTAGAGGAGTCAGATACTGAAGGTCTCACTCTACACGCGACTCCTCCAAGGGGGCTGGAGTCCGAGAGCAGAACCCAGCGTCGCCGCATACCTGGATGAACCACAAGCTAAAACACCCCGATATAAAGACCGACCGAAACTCCAGCTCAGCTTACAGCTGCATCTCAGTTGTGTGGGCTGGCCAGGAAGTGTGGGTGAGCTAAAAGATGTGAAGCTGGTGGTGCTGGATCCTACTGGTTGTGCCAAAGGATGCTTCTTTGGGCACCGTGGGGAAGATCCCAAAGGACCTTGGGTGACAAACTGGCCAGACGACTCGTCACAGGTTGAATACATCCGCCTTCCCCTTGGACCTTCCCTTATCCTGCTCCCCTCGCCCTGGAAAGAAAGAGCTCTGTTACTGAAAGGTTAAATTACCGCTCTTCATTTAACTAAACCTTTTTATGAATCAGTACACTTTATAGAGACCCTTTATTTTTCTAAATGCCATTGCACTCATGAGAGTTCGACTCTAGCTGCTAGGAAGTTGCAGAGGAAATCACTGAAGATGTGTCATAGGCCATGGACCGGTGACATCCGTTATTTCAGCCCCCAGCTTTGGAAGAGCCTCTTAACCCTGGTTGTGTTTAGCCTTGGCATTGCCACGCAGAATTCATGTCACCGGTGGTCTCCGTCGGACACCGCGAACAACACAGAAATGGCTCAGCTCCTTAACGGTGCTGAGCCACTTCATTAGGACGTGATTGTTGAGCCCGTTGTCCCGATTTTCACCTCCCTGTTCTGCCCCGGAGTACACCGGCCCGTTGGAGATGATTCCTACCCAACTGCGCGCGTCTGCTGTTAGCATGGCCTGTGACGTGAAGTCTGTCGCATCATTAAAAAGGACGAAGAGCCATCGTTCCTTCTGGGCTGGCAGTGCCCAAACCGGGCTGATTTCACTAAACACACACGCAATCTGCAAAAGAGTTGGAGTGGGGTGGATTGGATCTGCCTTTTGCAACACACGGCTCGAAAGCCGGGGCCCTCGCACTTGGTCCCGCAGAGCCACGGCTGGACGGGACGCACGCGCGAGTGCCTTCGAAGACTGTGGGGTCGATTCAGGGTTGCAAGTCAGATGCTGATAAGTTTTGTGTTTTTTTTAACCGCTTCTCTAACTCTTAATTCCTTCCCATCTCCATTGCGCACGGTTATCATTTATATAGACCTTCAGGAGAACAAAGGGAAGTCTAACAATGCCTGTCCATCTGCCACAAGGCAGTGGGAACAGTCTCATGAGCGGTGACTACCTAGGTTTTCGGCCTTGTCTGTGCAGATATTTTGGTAACGGGCAGTCCTGACCACCGTCAAATGGCCAGCGTGTGTGTGTGCACACTCAGGGCTTCTGTCCGCAACATGCAGCCTTTGTGCCCAGCGTGGGAGGAGGATCACAGCAGCTGGCAGAGGCATGGGAGTCTGCACATGCGTTCTGCTGTCTGCTGGGCTTTCGCCGAAGTTTAGGCGGAGGCAGGGTTTTGCACGGCGGTGTTGAGTGTGGACACTCTCCGTCTTAGTAGCCAGTCTTGTGGTGCTAGATCAGGCCGAAGGTGACTTTTACACCAAGATTTCCAGCCCAAGTCCATCAGGCCCTTTTAGCTACTGTCTTTGGAACGTGCACAGCAGCTTTGTAGAGAAACTAGTTGTTTTCTCCCCCACTTTTATCCTTTCAAGTATTAGGAGACTGAGCCTAATGGCCCATCCTGCAGTACAGAGCGCTGGGGGTGGGAGTCTTCCTACGTTTGAACAGAAAAGACCCATGTTCAGGAGCGGCACATGGAAGGTCGCTCTCCCTCCTGGGGTCAGGGCGCACTCCCTTTGCTGTCACAGACACTGCAAGGGAGATGGGCACTGCTCCTAGCTCCCTTGTCGTGAATATTGGGTAGCTCCCCAGTGGAGTCCAAGCAATGCAAACAGGTCTAATTTGCTCGTGAGTGCCCAGGTCACTCTCCCTTTCAGCTTCCACTCTCTGGAGACGGGCAAGAAGGACCTGGCTCCGACCCAGTGCACGGCAGATAAACTTTTATAGTGTTACCCAGAGAATGCTCTGCAGTCCAGATCAGAAATGGGTATCGGCATGGATCTGGTTCCTGTGGTCACAGCTAAGCATGGCCATATTTCTGCATTACTACAATGCTGGGACAGTCCAGAAAAATCACCCCAAACTCCCGCTGATTTACACCCCAAGGGAAGGTTTGCTTGACCAGGGCAAGCACCACAAGCAGACTGGCTGCTGGGAAAAGAGCATCAGTATGTGTGGTTACAGGGACAGCTGGCTCGGCGGTGCCACAATGTGTGCACGCCTGCTGGAAGGCTGGCTGCCGAATCGGGGTATTAACAGGCAGAGCAGACCGTAAGGGAAGGACTTGCACAGAGCCCTTTACTTCCAGAGCCTGATTTTCCTCACCCCTCCATCCCGAGACTGCCTTGTTCCAGATGGATGTTGCTAACTCTAACCAAATCAGGAGGGAAACCTTGGCTTTTTGTTGAAAGTTGATTTTTTTTTTGTTTTATTTTTTTTAGTATCGATGGGGTCATACAGTCAACGCTGTATCATGCTTCAAACCGCTCTGTTTGGAATAAAAGACACTTTCGCACGCCGGGCTTCTCTCCATCCTTCCCCGTGAGGGGCAGTCGTCCACGCGGCCTTGCTGCCGTCTCCTGGGAGGGT